AAAAGGAGACAACTGTGTGAAGAGAAAGCAAGGGGGAAGAAGGTGAGAGGTCCGTGAAGGACAAGTACACCACCCTGGATGAGGAGCAATGCCCTCCCCCACATAATCATAACTACATGTTAAGCTTACGTGGCTCTTCACAGGTTTTCCAATCACATGTGCTCTTTTGATCTTCATTATCTTTCTGGGAGGCAAACAAGACAGAGGACCAGGAAAGGGATGAGGCTCTAAAAAATCGAGGGACCTGTCCATTTGGCAGTCCAGGGCCAGGAAAACCTGTATTTTTTTTTTTTTTTTTGGACCCATACTCTGTAAACAGCTGGCCATTGTCAAAATCCCCTTGAGTCATCAAGGAAAGAGGGTAGAGCTCCAATATTCCGTTGATCATATCATGCTGCCTCTCTTGAACCTTTCGAAATACAGAAATATAGTGAATGAAAACTTTTATTTCTACATAGCACTAGGAGGTTGAGGATGAAAGTTCTACTACCAAATATTTTAAAATCCAATGACTTGTCCCATTTCTTCAGCTATACTGGAATATGAATTAATCATCTTATTGATTAAGCTAGTGGGCCGAGAGTAGAAACTTAGAATTATTTTAGTTTACAGAGATCTGTGTCATAATGATATGTATTATAGAAACTTGATCTAATTCAAGCATGAAAGTCTTAACTTCATATTACATCTCTGGGATGGTTGTCTTCCATAGAAAAGAATATAGTGATTGACTATTTTCAAAGAATAAGGTTCCTCAGAGAGCAAGAATAGGTACACTTTTGGAAAAGCAACGAGATGCTGTACAGCGATATGGGCTGTCAAATCAGAGAACTTGAGTTCAAATACAGCTTTACCACTTAGACAGTATAACATAGATAAGACAGTAATTAAGAGTGTAGATTTGGGATTCAAATAGATCCAGGTCCAAATCCTGGCACTACTAAGTTAGGAAAGTTATATTGAAACTCGTAAAAGTTTAATTCCCACCAGTTGTAAAATGAGGACAATCATGCTTGTCTTGCTGGATTATGCTCAACAAATCATAACTGTTATTATTAAGGAATGTATATTCTTCAAAGGAAATACATTTTATGATATCCTTTGCCTAAACTGCAAACCTTGGGACGTAAATACCTCAGCTATAACATATAAGGTTTTTTCCAGTAAAAATACTGATTGGACATTCCTTATTTATTCTTTTTATGTGTTGTATTGATACTAATTTAAGCACTTCTAAATTTGCCTACCCTAAATAATAAGCGTATATTATATTTCTGCTTCTAGAAGACAGAGTTCACTACACACATGATACTAGTAAATTTCTGTTGAATCATATTAAAAAATAATAGAACTTTGTCCCTTGAAACGTGTTTCAAGGATTCAAAAGAAAGATAAAATATTTGATAAATGTCTTTTAAACAAAATTCTTAAGAATTTGGTTGACAATTTTCATTGGAGGCAAAACTTAAGTTTTCCATATTTAAGTAGTATTGCTATATTCTCTGAAGGTGATGTAACGTTTTCCAGGATTGTTTGTTTGTAATGATAAGATTGTCCCATGTTTATAATCCTGAATCTTCAATGAAAAACCACTTTATCAACACATATTTAAGTAAAATTTTGGAACCTCCTAGAAGAAAATCTTTTAATAATTAGAGAGTAGATGACAACCTTCATGGTTGGCAGAATTTCCATGTATCTTTTAAGAAAATAAATTGAATGACCTCTGGACAGAGAAAACCCAAAGATGTTCAGGTCCCAAAGCCCCAGTTTTGGAGGTAATTACAAGGGGCTAAAAAAACAAAAGGCTACACAACCTTCTGACATTGAATCATTACATGGAGCTCTCCATTGACTGAACTAGAACTAGACTGCTAGAACCAAGTCTTTGACTGTCTGTCCTTTGGAAATTCAATTCAAATGTTACTGCTTCTGCACCTGAGAGAATTATTTTGGGAGCAGAATAGTAGAATTGTTCTAGAGTCAGAGTGCCTGGATATGAATCCCAGATACTAGTTGCTAACATATGCAAGGCAGAATTCTAAGACAGACAGACAGACAGACTGTTAGACAGATAGATAGATAGATAATCAGATGAAGGGTCTTCCCCGTATGTTCCATAATATATTTGCACTTGAGTGTCATAACAACCCTATGAAGTACATACTTGTATTATTTCCATTTTACAAATGAGGAAACTGAGACATAGATAAGGTAGACAACTTGCTCAGGATGACATAGAAAGTATTGGAGCTAGAATCCAACTCAGACAAGGCTCCACTCTGCTCCTCTCCCTCTCAAGGTCAAACATTTCCCAGCTGTGTGGCTTCAGGCAAGTTGCTCAGCTTCCCTATGCCTCGCCTGCTAAATGGAAATAATTGTAGATGGCTAAAGTATAAGAACCTTGGAAAGTTGTTAAAATGATTGACAAAGATAACACCTATATTTTTCTCAGCGCAGTGCCAGGTACATAGTAAATGTTCAACAAAGGCTATTTATTATTTATAACAGTGTCTTCTTGGTGATAGCAGGGACCATATTTTATTCATCTGTATGTACTGCTAAGCAAGTGACCTAACCTCTCTGACTTCATTTCTTCATCTGTAAAATGGGATAGTGTAATATCAACATCGCAAAGTTGTTTTGGCACATAAAAGACACTCAAAAATACTTGATGAATTAGTGGAATTTCTTCATATAGTACCTAATACAGTTTCACATGGAACCGGTACTGCAATAAAAACTTCTTGATCATAGCAATCCATAATGTAAAAATGATAATATTGCCTCCTCCTCACCCCTCGGGATCTGTGAGGATAAATGAGACAATCTCTAGGAGAGAGATTGTTAGGAGAAAGGTGCTTTATAAATCTAAGGGGTTGCTATTAATGATCATCATAATAATAAATTTGGTATTGCAGTAATCATAACTCATCATGCATGACTCCTCAAGGGAAGCCTATCAAGGCCTCCTTCAATGACACAGTGGCAGCTGGTGCCTGGGGTTTTGAATCTATGGAAATATGTGAGAGAAGAGAGTGATGTTACAGAGAGAAGTCAGAAAGGAATTTGAGCTTACCATTTAGAGAGGATCTTCTCACCCATGCCCTCCTGCTGCCCTACTCTCCACACCTCTCATACCAGGTCCCCTTAGGTGGGAACACCAGCGCTTGGCTTCTGACCTTCAGTTTCACAGGCCCAGGAACTCAAACATGTCCACACATTCAGTGCCCGTCAGACTCTTGGAGACACTCCCCTATAAAAAATATCTCAAAAAATAGGGCAAGCTGAGTGGGGTATTTCCTTATGGCAGCATGAAACAAAGCTGTCTATTCAAAACAGTTTTAGCCCCAAAGGCAAAAGACCCAAATTGAAAAGATAAAGTCAAAACTAGCATCACATCATAATAGTCAAAAGCATACAAATCTGAACAGGAATCAAGCTGTCCTGCTTAGACTTATGGGGCAACCTCTCTGAGCCTCTATTTCCAGTAAAACAAAACTATCTTGGATGAGACTTGTAAGGGTTAAAGGAGATAGAGTCCATGATGTATCTACCACAGCAAATGACACATACAAAGCCCTCAAGTAATGATAACAATCATCGTTGTGGTTATTGTGCTGTTAATATTTTAATTTTGATTAATCAAAGAAAGAATGTGTAGCAAAGCCATGCTAGTGTGAGGGAAAAGGAGTTAGTAAGATGAAGGGTCTTCCCAATATGTTCCATAATTTGGTCATGAGTGTGCTGAGTATGGATGGGTCAACAGTGTTCTTAAAAGAATTGCATCAGGCTGGACAAACTTCCTCAACTCAAGAGACACTGATATAGAAACCAGACATAAACATATTCATTTACAGATTCAGATATCCACTTTCCGGTAATCAAGGTGTATAAAGTACACAGGAAACCAAATTAACCATTGGAAGATGACTAGGTGAGCATGAGATCATAGGAACCCGGAAGGTATACCAGTGGGGTATTTTTACAAGTATGTCAAAGCTAGACTCTCTCCTACTATAAACTTCGCCCCCTAAGTGATCTGAAAACTTGACATCCATGTCAAGTTTATGACATTCAGATACTTATTTTACTGGAAACAGAGGCATGGAGAGGTTGCCACACAAGTCTAAGCATGGCAGCTGGATTCCTGTGTAGCTCCATATGCTCTTCACCTTGTGGTGTGATGCTACCAAATATCATGTCCCCTTCCAGTGTACAGAGCTGAGGTCTTTCTTCTCTTTCCTCAAAATCCACATGGAACACCTCTCTCCATCAAGTAAAGGTTTTGAAGCCAACCAAACCTAGATTTGATTCCCTGCTCCACCACTGACAAGCTCTGTGACCTTGGGAACATCACTCAACTTCTTTGAACCTCAGTTCACTGATCTATAAAATAGCAGCAATAACCTACTCCATAGGCTATTGTGAGGCTTAGCAAGAATGTATGTAAATACTTAGCACAGTGCCTGTGTGATTATTGTCATAGTAGCTACAATTTCAATTCTATTAGATCTACACTTTCATCAATGTCTGTGATTCTGGTCCTATAGACAAATCCTAAACACCATGTTTGAATCTACAACTCCCACATCCATTCAATCACACAATTACAGAACATCTTGGGGGCTGACCATGGCTGAAGATGGTTCAGTTCATTGATTCATTGCTGATATTTGGACACCTTACCATCCAAGGGTGACTTTATTACCTAGTTCTGGGGACATCTCATTGTAGCTGATGTATACAGGGAAAAGAAGAAGAATTCTGAAGGCCTAGAGGGATGCAAGGACTTAAATAATCTGCCAACACCAAGCAGCTTTGCCTCAGAAAGTGTAGCCATTTCTATTTTTCTGCCCAAAGCATTCTCTTCTTCCCTGAGACCACTCCCACTTTCAAAAGACGATTTCTTCCCTTTGCTACTTTTAGTCAAGCAGCCAGCGTTAATGGGAGTGTTAGTGGGATCATTTACAGTGATGTCACATTTTACTTTGGGCCATTCTTAATTTACTATAAAATCTTAGGGTAAAACATCCCAGATAGCACTTTCCCCAGTGTCTTTGAACAGTCACTTTCTCTTTATTTCCAAATGCACGCATGAGCTCTGTTCAATGAAGAAACACATTAACAGCGACCTCTCTATTCCCTCTAGGTTGCTGTGCAAGCCTTCCTGTGTTTTTAATCTTCACCAAGCTCCAAAACCAACCGTGTTGAGTGATGTGAATACCAGGCTTCTCGTTTCAGTAAGGAGATGACTGAATTGCAGTCTGCAAAGATTAAAAAAAAAAAAAAATCCACACTCTGAAAAACCAGTGGTTTGAGAAAATTATATAGATCAGGATAAAGATTAAGAAAATGATTCAAAAAATGGAAGAGATAAAATTTCCCATCTTATCTAGAGTGGTGAAAAACTACTGTACGAATGGGGTAATGCTGACCTGCTCTTTCATAACACTGGAGATAAGGAACAAGAACCCAAAATAGAAAGCACATCTGCAGCAAAGTATAAGGATGGGGGCTTGGGAGTCAGAGCACACAGAGAAAGGGGTTGTTGATTTGAGTGGTACGGGGAAACGGAGAAGGTGTTGCTTAAAGCAGTAACCAGTGTTGTTTATTTGGGATACAAGCTAGAGAATATTATTATGGCAGAGAAAAGAAGTTATCTCTTGTGAATTTTCTTGAGTTATGGGGGGAGCGAGAGAGGCTCACAGCATATGACATTTAGAATTGCAATTTCTAAGCGGAGCGCCATGTCTGATATATCATTTATTGTCTCTGCCTCCATCCTTCCAAAGCTGCATTAAGGACAGATACAAACCTCACTTCCTTGGATCTCCATTTTCACATTGATTTGGAGGACATTTATTTTCCCTTCGCAACAGAATCATATTTTTTTTCCCTCTTGGAAGGTTTAGTTCATCACTAAATATTCAGGTCTAGGAAGCAATTTTCCTTTCTCTTTGTGCATGATTTATGTCTCTCTGGAGCTGAATTCCTTTCGTTGAAAGCAAGAATCTATACAAATACAGGGCACAGGTGAAGAGAGAGATGAGTAGAAGGAAGGTTTCTCCAGTTGTGATAGAAATTCGCCCTTGAGTCTTCCTGTTTTAGCCGATTTTACAGGAAGGAAGAAACAATGCTCAGGTATCAGATCCTGCTGGCTTAGAAAATGCAAAAGGCAGTTTCAATTACCACGCAGTATTCTCCTACTTCTCTCTAATAAACATGTACATGTGCAGATTCCGGTGGTAGCTCTTTGAAAATAGAGTTTCCATACCATCCTTCCTGCATCTCAGGTGGAAATAAAGTTATTCCAGATACAGATATTCCAATTTCATAGATTCAATTAATTTTAGAACTGGAAGGGATCAGTATACCCACTTTTTGGTAGCTGGAAAAACTGAGGTCTCAGAGGTAATGGATTTGGTCAAGGTCTCATATGCTCACGTGACTGTAGATGTATATTTATGTATTCTTTGTAGTGCTTTGGAATTCTTCTGCTGTCTGCATTTATGTGAGGATTTCACACTTAGCACCGTGTCTTTGCCAAGACTGGGCACTGGAAGTACCAGGAAATACCAGGCAGCCCTTATTACCTCAGCCTTGTAACCTCCTGGGGCTCTGTGAAGGTGTAGGACACAGGTGCAGCCACCTTCACAAACCTAAACTGCATCCCACATGTGGTCTAGGAAAAAATGGCTCCTTCTCTGTTCTCACCACTCTGCATCCCACACAAAGGCACCAACCACTTCCTCTCTCATTCCTGTAACTCTTCCAACAAACTGAGGCTTCTGAAAACAAAAGCTAAAAAGTAAAGTCTGTTGTCTTCAAGCAACTTCTGCTTTCAACCCGGCAGCTAAAGCTCTGGAGAAAACAGATCACAAGACACAAATTAATAACTCAACAAATTCTGTAACACTTGCCTTGGATACTTCTGCCCCTGGGGCCTCGCTTATGCTGTGCCTTCTACCAGAAATGTTCTTCCCCTCCCCCACACTATCCAAGTTGCACTAAACCTCTATTGTCCAGGAAGTCCTCCCTGAACTCTTCACAGAATTCCTAAGGCATCTCCTCTCTCTGCCACTGGTTTTATTAATTATTTAATGTTTCAGGCCTCTCTGACTTTTTTCTCCAATAAGACTGTTAGTTTCCCAGTGGCTTTTTTGTATCCCACAAATCACCAAATAAGCTAGGCTTGGAGTGAGGTTTGTGTGTGAATCCTGAGTAAATTATTTTTCCTCTTCAATACATCAATAATAACCTCAGAATGCAACCGATAGTATTTTTCCTCAATAGCTGTATTATAACTTTGTTTTTCTTCTAATTATATAGATGATACATTCTCACTGTAAAAACATTCAAAAACTACATGATACTATAAAAAAGAACATAAAGGTCACAGGAATTCCACTTTCTTTATGTAAGCACTATTAACATTTTCTTGGCCACCTTTCATATTTTTTTTATGGCTCTCTGTATATATGTATATACATGTATATGTACATATGTGATGTTACACTTTACATAACTGAGGTTATTTCACACATATTGTTTTTCTTAATGTGGAGAATATTAAAGAACATAAGAGTGTCCAGCAACGTAAGTTGAATAAAAAATATTAGTTTAACCTGAGCTTCAATAAATAGTTTTAAATGAATAAACAAATAGTGTTTCCCATAGAATGAATGAGGAAAATAAAGGAAAGTAGGAGGCGTCCCTTCCTAGACCACTTTCCTGTCCTAGGCAGAACTTCACTGAAAATATCCCACTTATACTAGCCCAGGGCCCAAACTATGTGACACAAAAAGGACAAATGAATATTCTAATTGGATATTTTATACCTGACACATAGATCTGATTTCTCCAGCTTAATGTGGCTTTCCAACATCATACGTACTCTCAGTTTACCAGCTGGAAGCACTGAATGAGATGGACAGAGCTGTACACCCTGGGCGAACTGTTTACTAAAGTTAGGACAAACTAGACCAGACGGATATGTATCTTCCCTGGAGATCTTATAGAAGAGATTCCAGCCTCTAGAGCCTGGTGAAGAAACTGAGCTTTCTTATCTTAAATCGTCCTGTTTTCGCTGAAGCCTTTTTCCTCTTGTTCCACCCCTGGCACAGAGAGAACACTTATTCAGTCAGCCCACTTTCCCATCCTCCCCCAACCCTGGCCACACACACGCCTTTCTGCAGGCCTAATAATTCTGATTTCCCTTCCTCTCTGGGCCCTTTAATCACCTCTGTGGCTCTGCTCTGCACACGCCCCACTCTCTACATCCTTTTAAGGGTATATGAACTCAGACTTCTGCCTTCAAATGAACTAAAAGAGAACAACATTTTACAACCCAGATCACTCCTTCTTGAACATGAGAAATAAACATATTTCATCTAACTTAAAACTTAAGTTAGAAAACTGAAAGAGCCATCTCCTTTTCAATAGTCCTCATTTAAAGATCAAATTCAGACCTATGAGAAATTCTGTTTTCATAATTAGCAAATGTGATAACAGGCCTTTCCCACTCTACAATAACATCTCATGGTCATGGCAGTGACAAGCTTCATACAGTTTTTCCTCCTGTCCATGCAGAGAGGCTAGAGTCTATTTGTGAGTCAGACAACCCATCATCACACATTAATGCCACCAGAAGTCTGACTAACAGATCATAAATGCTTCTTCTGTCAACTAATCAGCCAGACTATGATACCTGCTATGATACATAACAGTCCTGCCATCCTCTTCACAGACACACAGGTTGTGACCACGTCCTAGCAGGTGTGTGTTTGCGAAAGAGATACTGATATGCCGGATGGCCATGACTGGCAGTGGCCTGGGCTTCCTTTGTGGAAGAATATGGACATCCAAGGCTAGAACCACAAGTTTCTCATGCTATCTGATTTTCTTCAAGGCATTTATCACTATTTGAAGTTAAATTATCTATTTACTTACTTGTTGTCTGTCACTCCCACTAGATAGTGAAAGAGGGGCTTTGTTTTGCTCATCACTAAAATTAACTCCCCTGCCTGCTAGTGTCTTCCCACGTCTCATTTTCTCAGTGTAAAATACAACGAACTACAAAGTCCTTTCCATACACTGCCCCTGGCATTCCCGATGTCCTTTACCTTACTTTACCTTTCTGGGGTTTTTTTGTTTTTTTTGTTTTTTTTAATAGCTTCTATTATCTTCTAACATATTATGTAATTAACATTGATGGATATTGTTTATTATTTTCCCCTGTGAGAATAAAAAGTCCATGCGGGCGGAAATTTTTGTCTGTTTTGTTTATAGGTGAATCCCAAGAAACTAGAAGAATGACTGGAACATAGTTTCTGTGGGTTTGTCATTTAGGTGTTCAATAAATATTTATTAAATAAATAAAAATAAATTGTTCGCCTTATCCTTAGCTCCTATAAGAGTGCTGGGCATATGATACCTGCTCAATAACTATTTGTTGAATCTATTGCTTTCCTAAAGAAACATTTATAATCTATTAGTCACACTTCTGGTGGCATTAATGGTTGAATCTTTTGCAAGCCCCCAAGTTTACGAATATTTTCTCCAGCGTCCAAACACTTGCCCATCTAGATGCTTTTGCTCATTTTCCTATGTCCTTAGTTAATAGGATATAATGGGTAATAAACCACTGTTTGACAAATTAAGTAACCAATTAATAAATAACTGACTCAATTGTACTCAGTGTTCCATGTACAATGACTAACACCCCATGTCTGACACTTTTTTGACTACCTGTTCCCCCAAAATCATCAACACTAAACTATCCCATTTATGGTTCAATTCAACAAACATTTCCTGAATACCTACTGTATTCTAGTCACTGCCAGACAATGAGTGAGATGGTCAACCACAACACCAACGAGTGTTTATTGAGCACTTACTTCATGGTAGATACTATGCTAAGCACTGTACGTACATGATCCCATTTAATCCTCTCAATAACCATAAGAGGCAGGGACTACTGTTATGCCTGTTTTACAGACAGAGAAAACTTAAGCATCTAGAGGTTATTTGTCCAAAGTCAGGCAGACAGTAAGCCATTACAGTAAGCCAGCAAAGCCCAGATCCTCAGACAGTCTTACCCCAGAGCTCACACTTCTAAGTTCAGTGACCTAAAGATGAAAAATAATCAGAAGAAATTTATTTTCTCAGAGAAAGATGAGTATATTGAGGGAGGAAAAAAAACATTTCAAAGGTTCTAAATGCCTCATCTTTTGGTCCCCACTGCCAAGCATAGAACATAGCACACTGTGAGTAAGGAATACATTTTGGCTAAAAGAATAAATGATTCTAAGCAATAAAAAGAGGTAAGACTACAATAGAGAAACATCAGTTCTAATTGGAGAAAACTGAGAATATTCTAGAACAACTAAAATATTTAAAGTGAACCTGGAAGAATGTGTAGGATTCTAAAAGATATAGAGATATCTATTGTTGCATAAACTTTAATAGATTGATACAAAAATAAATATCTATTACCCTTACAGTTTCTGTGGCTTTGGCACTCAAGAGCAACCTTGCTGGGTGATTTCAACTCAGGATCTCTCATGAGGTTGCCATTAAGATTTTGGCTGGGGCTGCAGTCTTTTGAAGGCTTGACTGGCAAAAATACGCTCTTTCAAGGTGACTCACTCACAAGGCTGTAAAGTTGGGGCTGGTTGTTTGTGGAGACCTCAGTTCCTCCCCACAAAGTCCTCTCCATAGGTTGCTTGAGTTCTTCAACAACATGGCGATTGGCTTTCTCCAGAGTGAGTGATCCAAAAGGGAAGAGTGAGAGCCAGGCAGAAGCTAGTTTTTAAATGGCCCAGTCTCGGAAATCATAGCATTGATTCTGCCACATTCTATTGTTAGAAGCGAGTCATTAAGTCTGACTCAGATTCAAGGGAGGGGAACTGGGCTCCACCTTTAGAAGGGAAGATTGTCAAGAATTTTCAGACATATTTTAAAACCACCACAGAGGCAGCTCATAGGAAGCATAGGGCAGGTTCTAGAATGACAAGTAATCCAATGTCCCAGGTAATGGACTTCTTAACCTGGTGACCTCTCTTATTTTTTCAATTTTCACATCACTCCATCTATTTCTTATACTTTGATCCTTTATTCTTTGTCATTTTGCAGAGAAAATCATTCAATGTTTTTTACCCAGTTCATCCATTCCTGCATTTTGTTTGAATATAGTTCTATTTTGTGTGCTTAGCACTGGAAACGTAAAAATAAAAAAAGACATGACCTTTGTTCTCAAGGAGTTTGTGGCCCGTTTGATAATCACTTACGTAGTCTATATACTAATCACATACAATATGCCAAGGGCCATAATAGAGTTATATACAAACTGATGGTAATATAGAGGAGATGGACTTTTCTCATGAGAGGGACTTTGTTGCCGTTAAGGAGTTTGGACTCATCTTTTACACTATAAAGGTTTTTAAGCAGCTGTGTGCCAAGATTCACATCTGTATTTTAGAAAGACAATGTTGATGGCAGTAGAGAGAATGGAACTGGTGGAGGCTACATGAGCAACGGCATGTGGAATAGAGAGACAAAATATACTTGAGAGATGTTTATTACGTAGAATTGACAGGGTCTGGTGATTAGTTACACAGGCAGAAAAAAGGTTGGAAATAACTTCTAGATTTCTGTAAGGCATATAATAGTCTCATTAACTAAGACACAAAATACCAAAAAGAATCCAGGTGTTTTGGGGGGATGGAAATGTAGTAAGTTCAGTTTTAAACATATTGAGCTTGCACTGCCTTTAGTTAAACTGTTGAAGGAAGTGTCATAGAGGTGATAAAAAATATGCAACTGAAGTTTCAAGAGAGACGTCCCAGCTGGAAATATAAATTTTGGAAATACTGGCATTTGTATGCTAGTTAAACTCATAGTATTAAAGGAGATCATCTAAAGAGCTTGTAAAATAGAAAAGGTAGCCAAGAATGGTACCTTGGGGGATACCAACATATAATGGTGGTGAAGAAAGAGAAGGCATTAAAAAAAAAAAAAAAAAAAAACAATGAAAAGGAGAATCCAAAAGAGGAAGAAGACATTCAAGATATTTCAGTGGGTCATGAAACCTACATGAGAGATTATCAAAGAGAGAGGATCAACAGAGGCAAAAGGGGAAAAAAAAAAAGCAGAGACATCAAATTAGAGACAGGCTACAAATTATACTTCACATTTGTCAATTCGATTATTAATCACTTAAATGTTTGAATAAGGTGATGTGGGATGGAATCCAGCTGTTGTAAGTTGAGGGGTGAAAGAGAGGTGAGGCAGTAAACATAAGGTAGACTACATTCACTAAAAGTTTGAAAGTGAACAGTAGAGAGGTTGAGTGCTATTGTTTTAACGTGAGAAAGTGAGTCAGGCTCCATATAATTCCATTCCATTAGGGTTGTATTTTAAGGTTTCTGTTTTATTCCTAACCTACTATCAAAAAATATATGTATATTCATTTTTTCTCTGGTTTTTGCAGCTGCTTCTATCAGAGAATGTCATAAAAGGAAAGCTGTTTTAAAGGGCCGAGAAAACCTAGAACAAACTCAGGACATCTACTTCAAGACAGAATGCCAGTGACCCGAGAATCTGGATTTACCAGCCTGATCATTACATTCAATGGACTGAAACCTCTCTCAATTCTCAAAAATTTATAACATGTTTCAAGATATGTGAAGGTCAACTAATTATTAATGAAAGCAACCAAAAAAAGAGGAAAGTATATGTTTATTTGATTTCTGGAAACCTTTCCTTTACTCTGGGGATGCAGAATAGGCCTATGAATATACAAATCTTAGATTCATAATAGTTTTTATCAGAGCAATATTTTCATCATTTACCAAGACATACATAAGAAGAATCAGAACCTAAACAGAAATTTTCATGCTGGTAGATGAAAGGACAAAACCTGGAGGTTCAAAAGGTACCACTGAATGACTGTAATTAGCTCTCTAGTGGGTAAAGCTGGGCATCTTAGCAGAGCTTCACCAATCACTCTCAGTTATAAGAAAGAACATAGAGACAAACTCTAAAGAATGTAAGACCCAGTTTAAAGAGGTCTTACCAAGAGTCAATTTTTTTTTCTCCCTTAGAGAATATGATATAAAAAGTATATAGGAAGTATGAAAAGTAGAAGGGAATAATGTCCATCATTCCAATATTCTAGCATGATTGTCATATTTAGGTGCTTCTTTTTAATAGCAACAGAAATATAACAATGATTGATTACATTCCTTTATTTCACAAACATTTACCAAGCTTGTGTCAGTGTTAGGTGCTGAAAAATAAAATGAACCTATTTCCGGCCTTGTGTAATTCATATTCTAAAGGGAAAGCAGACATTAAACAGCTAAATATATACTTATTTGACTACAACTGGGATTTATGACATGAAAAAGAAGCATAGGGTATTAACAAAACATTGTTAGCTAAACATCCCCCAAGTTCTTCTGCCTTATAATGACTTCTGTCCTTTACCACTGAATAAAACAACTTAAGCTCCTTTCTGCATTTGATTGCAAATCCTCTCCACATGAATATTCCTGAGAAGTCCTAGGGCAGGTGCTTATAAGTCCTAGTTGTCTCCTGTCAGCCCCAGTTTCCCCTAAATCCCCTTGGGTCTCCTCTTTGGCACTTACATCAGGCCACCCAGCCCTCTCTGATCAATTTCACCATAACCATAAGCAGGGCCCTTCATTCTTCAAGGCAGAATTTATAATAGAAGGCTAACACTAAATTAGTCACTATTAAAATTTTGCAATAAGTGAAGAGAAGGAGAAAGAGGAAAATTAATAGAGAAAGTATTGGATTATCAGACATCTTTACATCAGCTACCCACCCATACACCTTGTCACGGAGAATCTCCTACTGGAATCTTCCTCTCTCATTAGTCTCTTAACTCCTGCCATCTTCCTAAGATCCATGTCTACTCGATATCAGGTCCTTCCTTCCATCCATTTCCTCTCTTCTTCCCAATGCCAAGGCTCCTTTCAGAGTACTGATCAGAGATGCCCTCTGATAAAACCAGTAGTGGTTGTATAGCAGAAAAGCTTCTAAAATTCATTATATTATTATGCAGAAAAGCTTAGTTTCCTTCATCTACAATTCTTCATCACATCATCTTGACTTTCATAGCAAAATGCCATTAAGTTGTCTTTTAAACAAAATATTGTGTTTTTCCTTGAATAATTTCTCAGCACCCCTAAAATGCAGAAGTGGTTCCAGTCACTTTATTGTTCTCCAATAGCAATTTTTCCTTTCACTTATAGCAATTTATCAGTGGGAAAATATGAGCTCTTTGTAAATGGAGGAGCGCAAATTTAAAAGGTCATTCTGATCTAAACCATAGGCAAAGATTTAGGCATAAAAATTCCCAACCCAGAGTTATATTTCAGCATGGAAAAATGTTGAAGCAATCTAAATGTCCAACAATATAGAAATGATTAAATAAATTATTCTAAAATTATTTCATAGAATATTATGTAGCCATTCAAATGGCTCTCATTTAGACTTTTGGCAATAAAGAAAAATGCATGCTTTAATATTAAGTCAAAAATGCAGGATTCTGAATTAATATAGAACTTTATATCAAATATTCAAAATGTATGTGTTTCTAAGTCCTGAAAAACTAAAAGAGTAACCAGTGTGACTGGTTTTCTCCCAGCCCTCAAAGATCAATCACACGGACACTAAATAGGAGAGAGGAAAGCAAACATGTGAGGAACCATATAAATACTGTGAGAGCCCCCTGAGAAGCCTGAAGGACATAGTAATTTTAAGTAGCAAGGTGCTGGAGGGCGGGGTACAATGACAGATTAGATATTCCAGGTATAACAGGATAAATTGGAAGGTAGCTTTTACATTCTGTTCCTGACTCTCCTAATATTGTCTTGAAAGGATTATGGCTGCCCCATTATCCCTGTGAGAAAAAAATCACGGGTTC